TATCGTTTGAGTCTTATTTTCATTTTGAATATTCATGCAAGCCTTTAACTTTCCTACTTGCTTAAGTATTATGCGCTTGTTGTTCTGTTCGTGCTTTATTATGTGTAATCTCAGATGCTTTTTCTTCGAATCATTTCGGTTCCGAGAATTATCCCTTTTACATGAGTGTTTAAATAAGTATTTGCGCAAGTTTTCTTTTTGCGTTTTTTCATATGCAGCTTCAGGTGTATTTTTTCCCGATGACATTATGGATTCCGGACATTGATTCTTCCGGAACCAACCATTTAACTTGAGGGTTTTTATAAGAGAGGGCCCTCTTAAGTTTACGGTGCTCTTGAAGAGGATGTCTCCTGTTCATTACAGCACAAACATTTGAAGTACTTATTTAACTTTCAAATGGTAAAATTAATCATCATTCGGACAAGAAACAAGAAAAAAACAAAAGGATTTAATTTCATTTAATTCCTTTTATTTTCAAAAGTACATAAGCATTTTGCTATGCAAAAAAGAAATTGCCATGACTTATGGCTATAAAGAAGTTGCCATGACTTGTGGCTATCTTGTACAACTTATTTCTACGGGGCCGGCTACACAGTCCCCGGTCCAGATGATGTATTCTNTCCCCCCCCAGTATTCAAATGCAAAGAATGCGAATTGGAACACTAAAAATCTTGTGTCTTCGAATATCCCACCAATGAATTTCTAGGTAATCCTTCACTCGGCAATATATCTTGTTTCCCATTAGGAACTCATGCTATCGAGCGAAAGAATACCTAACAGTCCTCTAGGGGTTTGTGCTCGGGAATGTTCGGGTAACCTCCATTCGATAGCAAACTTAACTTCCCGGTGGGAATTTGCTATCGATGCAAAGATTATCTAATCATCCCCGAGTAGAAACTTGCTTGTTTGCCCTGTTATGAAAGGTCTTATCACTGTTATCTTCGTAGTATGCTTTCCGTCATTGCCTCGTTAAAAACCTTACCGAAAAAACCCAATTGGAACAAAAACTAAATGAAGGGAAAAAGAGTGCAGCACATACTTTCCGTTTGATTGTTATTCGTCAGCAGTAATATCTTTTGAGGTGAGACACATTCCAGTTGCTAGGCAACTTGTCTCCGTTTTGGTTCTCCAACTCGTATGATCATTTCCTAGTGATAGCTGAAACCCAATAAGGGCCTTCCCATGTTGTACCTAACTTGCCTGCGTTGAGTTCCCGTGTATTTTGAGTTACCTTCCTCAATACCAAGTTTCCTACTTTGAAATATCAGAGGTTGGCTCTTCGATTATAATATCTCTCCATTCTCTGCTTTTGGGCCGCCATTCTGACATGCGCAAGGTCCATGTGCTCCTCGAGCAGCTCCAAGTTAATTAGCATTGCTTCGTTGTTCGATCCTTTGCTCGCCTCGAAATACCTAAAGGTTAGTTTCCCCACTTCTACTGGTATCAAAGCTTCTGTACCGTACACAAAGGAAAAAGGGGTCTCACCCGCGCTTGACTTGGCCGTTGTTCGGTAGGCCCATGGAACCCCAGGTAATTCTTCGGGCCAGTTGCCTTTTGTTGCTTCCAACCTTTTCTTGAGGTTTTGAATAATCACTTTGTTTGTTGACTCCGCTTGACCATTTGCGCTCGGATGATAAGGTGAAGAGGTAATCCTCTTTTATCTTCAAGTCTTCAAGGAACGTTGTAACTTTTGCGCTGATAAACTACGGCCCATTGTCGCATGCAATCTCTTTTGGTATTCCAAACCTGCAAATTATATTTTTCCATAAGAAGTCGACCACTTCGTGTTCTACGATCTTCTGATAAGGACTTGCTTCCACCCATTTAGAAAAATAGTCAGTTAAAATTAAAAGAAATCTTACCTTTTCGGAAGCCGGTGGTAGCGGTCCGATGATGTCCATCCCCCATTTCATGAATGGCCACAGGGACAGAACTGAATGTAAGGATTCTGCCGGTTGATGTACTAGTGGTGCGTAGCGTTGGCACTTATCACATTTTCGTACGAAGTCTTTAGCATCTTTTTCCATATGGGGCCAGTAATATCTTGCCCGGACTAATTTCAGCACCAAAGAATCTGCACCCGAATGGTTGCCGCATATCCCTTCATTGACTTCTCTCATGACATAGTAAGCTTCTGATGCTCCTAGGCACTGGGCCAACGGGCCTTGAAAGGATTTTCTGTACAATTGGCTTTTTTGAAGCTATATCATACAGCTTTGGCACGTAACGCTCTTGATGTTTTGGGGTTTTCGGGCAACTTTTCATGCTCGAGATAATCGATTATTTCGTTTCTCCAATCCCAGACCAAACTAGTCGAATTTACCTCATAGTAATCTGTGTCCAAGGCTGAGTTCATCAGTTGTACTACCGTCCCTAATTCCGATCCTTGGTTTTCTGTTGATGAGCCCAAAATTGACAATGCATCTTCTTTCGCGTTATCTTCCCTCGGGGTATGAGTTATTGACCATTCTCGGAATCGTTCCAATAAAGCTTGAACTTTTACCACGTATTGTTGCATGCGTTCCTCTTTGGTGTCAAAATTCCATAGACCTAATTTACCACCAACTACGAATCACATTTGATTTCAATGACTTCGGAGTCAAGTCCACAGGCCAATTCGAGCCCTGCAATCAAAGCTTCATACTCTGCTTCATTGTTAGTTAAAGGAATCGTCCTGATGTCTTGCCTTAAGGTTTTCCCCGAATGCGTAATTAAGACTATTCCGAGCCCAGAACCTTTTACGTTTGAAGCTCCATCCGTAAATAAGGTCCAAACTCCCGATGTTGATTCTGACACCATTGTTGCATCTTTGGCTGCCAGAGACAATAGTCCAGACTGAAGTTGGTCACGAAGTCAGCCAAGACTTGTGACTTAATTGCAGTCCTCGGTTTATATTCTATATCGAATTCGCTCATTTTGATGGACCATTTGGCCAATCTACCCGAGAGCTCTGGTTTATGGAGGATATTCCTCAAAGGGAAAGTAGTTACCACAACTATCAGGTGGCATTGGAAGTAGGGCCTTAGTTTCCGAGCTGCAACTACGAGAGCTAAGGCCAGCTTTTCCAGATGTGGGTAGCGAGTTTCTGCTCTCGTATTGCTAACGTAATTAATGGGAGATTGCGTACCTTCATTTTCTCGGACCAAAATCGCACTCACCGCAACTTCTGAAACAGCGAGGTAGAGTAGCAACGTTTCACCTTCCTTTGGTTTTGAGAGCAATGGAGGGCTTGACAAATATTTCTTCAACTCCCTCAAGGCTTGCTGACACTCTGGTGTCCACTCGAAATTGTTTTTCTTTTTGAGTAGTGCGAAGAAGCAATGACATTTTTCTGATGAATGAGAAATGAACCTGCTCAAAGCTGTCAATCTCCCTGTGAGCCTTTGGACTTCTTTTACGTTAGACAATTGATCTAGGATGTCCTCTATGGCCTTGATTTTGTTGGGATGTACCTCAATTCCCCTTTGTGACACTAGGAATCCTAGGAACTAACCCGAACTGACCCCCGAACGCACGCTTCTCGGGGTTAAGTTTCATATTATGCTCCCTCAGGATGTCGAATATTTCTTGTAAATGCTTTAAGTGGTCACCTGTATTCAAAGACTTAACGAGCATATCTTCTATGTATACTTCCATAATCTTTCCTATTTGTTTTTCAAACATCTTATTCACGAGCCGTTGGTAAGTGGCTCCGGCGTTTTTTTAGCCCGAAAGGCATCACATTGTAACAATATATACCAAAACTCGTTATAAATGAAGTCTTTTCCTGATCTTCTGGGTTCATTTTGATTTGATTGAACCCAGAATAAGTATCGAGGAAACTCATTAACTCGTGCTCGGTCGTAGCATCAATCATCTTATCGATATTTGGCAATGGGAATGAGTCTTTCGGGCATGCCTTATTAAGATCTTTATAATCTACATGTGAAATTTATTATTTTTCTTAGGTACTGCTACTACATTGGCTAGTCATTCCGGATATCTTACCTCTCGGATTGAACCAATATTAAGCAAACAAGTTACCTCTTCTTTGACGAATTTATTCCTTGCTTCAGCAATAGGGCGCTTCTTTTGCCTTACCGGAGGTATGTTGGGATCCAAGCTTAAATTGTGTACGGCTATCTCCGTTGGGATGCCTGTCATATCTTCGTGCGACCATGCAAAACAATCGACCTTAATTCTGAGGAATTCAATAAAAGCATACTTGTGCTTCGTGTGTAGTCCTGTTCCTAAATGAAATTTCCTTTCTAGGAATTCTTCGAACAATGCAACCTGCTCCAGTTCTTCTATCGTGGACTTCTTCGCGTCTGTCTCTTCCGGTACTTGAAAATACCTTGGTACCTGATATTGTTCCAACTCTTCTGTCACCGGATTATCTTCCTCTGACTCCGGGGTAGGTGTCGGTTCCAGTAATTGCAATGTCGCATGTTCTTTTCCTTTGATACTGGAAACTAAAATTGCATTGAACTCCCTTGTTGCCGGTTGATCACCCCTTATCTGTTTGATCCACTCGGGTGTCGAACATTTTAACAATTGGTGATATGTTGAAGGCACGACTTTCATCTCGTACAGCCATGGTCTTCCCAAGATGATGTTATACCACATGTATCATTCTACCACTTCGAAGAGTGTTGTCTTCATTATTCCCTCAACGTTCATGAGCAGCAAAATTTTTCCCCGGGTTGTCACGCTTACGAGGTTGAATCCGGCGAGGAGTTTCGTTGCCAGTATAATGCTCCCAGTGAGTTTAACTTGCTCCAGTACTCTCCATTGTATAATATTAGTTGAACTTCCTGGATCCATTAAAACACGTTTAATTTTAAAATTTAACACATTTAAGGAAATTACCAGTGCGTCATTGTGCGGCAGTAGTAATCCGTTTGCATCTTCGTCCGTGAACATGATATCGTTGTCCTGGAGCCTCTTACTATGAGTTATCGACACTTTTGTCTTCTTTGCTGCTGAAAAGGTGACCCCGTTAATTTCATTCCCTCCAAAGATCATGTTGATCGTTTGGCGTGGAGGTTCTTCTCCCGCTTTCGAGGTTTTCGCACTTTGTTTCCACCATAGTTGTTTTTAGCTCGATCGCTCAAGAATTCTCTGAGGTGACCATTCTTTAACAATGTTGCCACTTCTTCTCGAAGGTGTCGGCAGTCCCTAGTCCGGTGGTCGTTAGTGCCATGGTATTCACACCATAAATTGGGATCCCTCTGGCTGGGATCAGATTTCATAGGTCTTGGGAATCGTGCCTCTTTGATACTCCTCACGACCGACACCAACTCTACGACACTGAGATTGAAGTTATATTCCGATAACTTTGGGTAAGAAGAATCTCGCGACCCTGAGACTTCTCTATCCTGCAACAATTTGTTTTTCTGGCCACGATCGGTCATTCTATCAACGGTGAACCTGTCTGTTGTCCGGAAATTCCTGCCACGACCTTTTGTCCGCTCGTAGGGCAAAAAACAGCCTCTTGAAGTCCGTCTATTTGTGTCAATATCATCTTTCATTTTTTCTTTGTTCTTCTCCCGTACTTTGGTCGACGATGGGAAACCAACCTGATCGTCTTCGATCCTTATTTTCAACTCGTACCGGTTATGGACATCCGCCCAAGTCATCGCTTGGAACTCGAGCATACTCTCCTTCAACTTTCGGGAAGTGCCCGAACTTCTCGAATTTAAACCTTTGGCGAACGCTTCAGCTGCGCATTCATCCGGGACTGCCGGTAGCAATATCCTTTCCTTCTAGAACCGGGTAACGAACTCTCGTAATAACCCGAATTCTCCCTGTGCGATCCTGAATATGTCGACCTTTAGGGACTGTACCTTTCTGGCACCGGCATGAGCCTTGATGAAAGAATCTGCGAGCACCTTAAAGGAATCTATGGGATGCTCGGGCAATAGTGAATACCACGTTAAAGCTCCCCTCGTGAGAGTTTCACCAAATTTCCTCAGCAACACGGACTCAATTTCATGAGGAACCAAATCATTTCCTTTCACTGCTGTTGTGTAAGTGGTAATGTGTTCTTGTGGATCTGAAGTTCCATCATACTTCGGCACCTCATGCATTTTGAATCGCTTCGCGATTAATTCCGGGGTTGTACTCGGCTTGTATGGTAATTGAACATAATTCTTTGAGTTCGGGACTTTCAATACTGGTAGCGCGCCCGAGATTTGATCCATGCGGGTGTTTACTTCTTTCATGAACCGTAAAAGTTCCTCCTTGGACGGGTCGTTATCGTTGTTGAGGCCGGATCTGCTCCCCCCTGTCGTAGCCAACTTCGCCCTTGGGTGTGTTGTTGTCGACTCTCCACGTCGTTTGGTTTACGGGAACCTCGGGAGGAATTGGATCTCGTCTGTTCACATTATTTGAAGCACCTGATAGCGCCAGCTTTAGTTCTGTCATAACCTGATCTTGCCGCGTGAGATGTCCTAGAATGATTGTATATTGCTCTTGCAGGACCCTCACTGCACCCGCTACATGCTCCTCATCAGCATCATCAGGAGTCCTCTCTCGAACCCGTCGCGGGTATCACCCACCATGCGTCGGTGTGGCATCGTTCTCCTCATTGCGAGTGTCACTGATTGTATCCTCGAAATGAGGATGCTCCATTTGAATTTCAGGGTTGCGTGTGCCGTTAATAGTGTTATCTGCCATTTCTTTTGTGATTTTTGCTAAGACAAAAATAATCAAACTTGTTAGTAAAAAAGGCAAGGATCAATTTAATTGCACGGTGGGCGCCAAACTGTTTACCCGAAAAAGGGTACAGTTGAATTTATTCGTGGTTTCTAGACAAGTGAACTAGTTTGATCCAAAAAGTAATGAAATAACTGATGAAATATGAAATACTTAGCCTTAGAATGTAGATGAAACAACAGAGCTAATGAGTCCGGGAACAAAATTTTCGGGCACAACAAATGATAAGATTAAAAGTGAAAGAATATAACTATATTAAAATTTTGTATAGAATGTAGCGTAAGTTAGCTAGAAAATTCGTCTCCTTTACAATGATAACTAAACTCCCTATTTATAGTTATGTCTAGGGAAGGAGGTCCTAGCATCATGCCCTTCTTTAATGTCAATTATGAGAGCCATTGATGAAGATGTAACGTTAGACATAAATGTCAAATTCCTTGTAACGGGTCATCATCCTTAATGCTGCAAAATATTCTGTATTAAATATTACCGGACGTGAAGCTTTTAATACTCCATTTATGATCGTTACTCTTTCCGGTGACAAGTGGAACAGCTATGTTCGGTGGCCATTCCCATCTTGAGTTTCACGTGTCCTTCCTTTTAGCGGCCACATATCATGTCGTATTTTCCCCTATACAATGTATTCACACATTACCCTTATCCTGTGAAGATAAAGAGTCTGTTTCCAAAGACTCTCAACTCAAGGATCAAAAAATAGTTCATGAGGGGTGAGGGGTGAATTATCAAACATGAATAAGGAGGCAAAAGCTAATCACTCAACCAATGCGAAAATATTATAACATTATCTAAACGCTAGACCTAGGCAATTGAACCGTGGATACATAACACGACGGGCTTGATATTGAAAAACACAATAATATGGATGAGAAAGTGGACCTCTTGTGTCTATTCAACCAAAAATAGCTCACGAACTGAAAAGATTGCTGTCTTGTATAGGGTGGAAAACCTGCGCACCCCTAAACTACAAGCTTTCTTTGAAGCCCCTACAACATGGGATATTTGAAGAATCCCCTTTCTATAAACCTTTCTATAATACCGCAAACTACCGAATATACTACTGCAGGATCTTCCGCTGCTTTTGTTGTTATTGCTCTCACCTGTCACTCGAACTCTTATTCTGGAAATAAGTCGGGGCCCTTTTACCAAGTCTACCAGATAGAAGATGATAGAGGGGCAAGCGAGATACCAGTCTCTACTGGGGGTTATTACTCATTTTTGTACTTGCTTTTTTATTTTCCAATAATTTCTGTTCACAAATCTCGGATGTTACTTTTTTGCACGAATCCGACCTTTTCGGGGTTGAAGGCGTAAGCGCAGCTATTAAAGACTATATAACGATATAATAATTTAATTTCTAAAATCAAGTCGGATACCATAACACCTCATGCACAACCCATGAACAAATAAAGCGTGGCTGCGTGGGTAACACAACATAACAAACTTGGCTAATCGGAGAAATTCTAATGAGTCATAAAATCGTAACGAAACGTGAATACATAACATGGGAACTATTTAACCAAAAGTAGTTATTGAAGTAAGTATTGCTCAAAATCTTAAGGAGTAACCCAATCTCTCAACTAATATAAGATATAAATTGGCACAATTCTAATTGAGTCATTAATTACTGTTCTGAGTGCTTTTCTTTCTTTTTAATTGAGCAAAATTCATTTATAGTCACTCGGGTCAAACTTATAACATTCGGTAATCATAAAATGACCACATATAAGTCATAGTCTAAAAATAATAATAACAGCTAGCAAATAAAAAATTTGAAGCTTACTGTTGACAGACGCCTATGAAGTCTTCTCGGAGTAGACAATTCCGACCGTCGACAGACGCCTATGAAGCCTTAATCTTTCTCCTCCGCAATGAGCAGAAACTTGAAATACTGATAAATTACTCTTTACATTCATTTTCAATAATGTATGCAGTAAGAAATTTACAGCCATTTTGGACTTCTCTTGCCTCTATTAACTCTCCTTACTTCCATCTCTCTCGTTCCACAATCCCATGTAAGTTCCTATTCTCTTAAACGCATGCGCTACTTTTACATGAAAATTAATTATTACTCCATCCATACTAATTTATGTGAAGGTGTTTGTGTGACAAAGGACTTTTGCAAATTCTGATTTAAAACAAGTCATAGACTATGTGGTTATAAATTATTTTATTAAGGGTAAAATTGAATTTCAAAATATAAAAAAATAGACTGACACTATACAAAATATATACTAAATAGACTGTCACTATACAATTTATATACAATCGACTGTCACTATACAAAAATTATATAAAATAGACTGTCACTGTATAATTTATATACAATAGACTGTCAATATACAAAATATATGCTAAATAGACTGTCACTATACAAAATATACTGTCACTATACAAAAAATATACAAAATAGACATTTCGGGCTATTAGATGTAATATGTTGGGGCCGGAGGGACATTTCAGGTCAATGGTAAAAACATGGGCTATTAAAATTTTGAGGGGCTATAAAGGGTCATTTTCTCTTTTTAATAAGGAAATTTTACCTCCTATAGCAAAGCTTTACACCCTATTTATTATAAATAAAAACCCTTTTAAAATATTATTTTCTATAGCTAACTTTTAGTTTTTATAGCAAAATATATATTTATGGTCACTTCCTACTGTTAAGTCATTAAATACGTTGTCTAATATTTTTCACTCGCATTCTTTCAGTTTATTCTCTCCCAGAATCACGCATAGTATCTTATTTCTCTCTCCACGATCTCTCTCTCATTCTTTCCTATATGAACCAGAAAACTAGTTTCCTCCAACAGACGGTGAGCTTTTCCATGATTTCCATGGTTATCACTACTCTTCAGCCATGAAAACAGTGAGCTTTTCCATGATTTCCTGCAAGTTTTCTTAACATCCTTTTCAAAATTGTTCTTTCCCAATTCCACAGGACGTGGAGGCGTGACACCAAATTTTTTCCCTTCTGATTCATGATTTCTTGCTTCTATCAAGAACTATGAAATTGTGCAAGTCGTAAATCATCAACACAAATTTTCACCACTCACCACTAAAGTTTTTTGAGTTTTTGGCCAATTAAACTTCTTCTTTTTCTCTTCAACAGTTTTTTTTAAAATATTCACCATTGTTAGATTTTTTGCAGAATACCCACTAAAGCACTCAATTTCGAAGGGCCATCTTTCGATTTGCAAATCACTCAAGAGGAACCTGTATTTGCAGGTTCATCAACAACCATTGAAGCCGAAAGGAAAACAAAAATACGCAATGACCCTAATTATAGATGTATTTATATGTATTCGAGTCTGCATACATTGTTATTTAGTTTCTACAGTGATTTTCTCTTCTTGTATTTAGATGTATTTATATGTATTCGATAAGGCATGCACTGATTTTTATTTTGTACAGTGATTTTGACTGTTGTATTTAGATGTATTTATATGTATTTGAGTTCTTACAACAATATTTTTAAATACATCGTTAGTTCTATCATTTTGATGTTATTCATCAATTAGTTATGCGTTCAATCTAACTGTATTTATCTATATTTTAAACCTAACTGTATTCGTCTGCATTTAAAATAACAATACAGTAAAATACTCTTAATACAAATAGAAAATCAATGAATACAACCAATGAAATATACTCAATAAAGCAATAAATACCATGTATTAGGAATAAATAAAATATTATGAATACAAAAATAAACTTGAATACATTGAACACAACTGTTAGATACAACAGAATACAAGCACTAGGTTTATTATGAAATATGCAGGCAGTAGGTTACTATTACAGGTTGTATCCGGTATAAATATATGATGTATTCATATATAGAAAATCGAATTTCAAAATATTTCTATAGATACTTGTATCAATTCCGAGCAGAATCTCGAACAATGTCAGGAAAAAAACTCGAACTGTATCAGAAAAAAAAAAAAAAGGGACTGAAATTTTGAAGAATGCTCTGTTTATTGGTGTTTAGCATCTGACTAATCTTCTCATTAATTGGATTGATAATGTTGTGTGTTATAATTGATTTAGGTGAGTTATATTAGGAGTGTATCTCGTTAAATTAACAGCTTTCCGTTATTAAACAACTTGAGAGACCTATTATTACGTTGTATTCATGAATACATACAAATACAGCGGCTGACAGCTGGACTGCCCTATTTTTTAGCTGATTTTTGCTATTGTATTCATGAATACAGTAGCTCGAATACATTACCATAATAACTGAAAGCTAACTACGGAAAGTAATTATATATATGGTAGCTATATGAAGTTAATAGTCACTGAACAGTAGTCATTTCTGAAAATTTCTCTTTTAATACTGCCTTGGTTCCTTTTCTCGATGACGGCCATTTTCTCTTTTTGTTTGAAGATTTTGAGCTGGTTACTAAATTGGGCCAGACCTACTCATTTGGGCCACTTTCCTAAGCCCATTAACTTCTTGGGCCGGTCCATCTTTGGTCAGTTTTGTTACTCGGTAGAACCCATCCCTAAATTCAACAACACTAAGAAGCTCGAACAGAGAAGAGCGAGCTGAAAGAGAAGATGAAAGAACAAAATCGAAGCCGTAAACGGAAGAGAGGAAAGGTTCACAAAAAATCTTCTCCTTCATCCTCTACTCCCACCGGCGACGGTCATTCTAAGTTCTCCGGCGTGAATCGATCTTCGGCTTCAAAAAATGCTATCTCTAAAACTAAGAAAGCTTCGTCTTTTCTCGATAAGGTTGTAATTCATCCTTTCTCCGTATATACATCTACCTATATTCATATTTTTACAAAATAGTTAAGTAATATTTTCATGTGGAGTTAACGCAGATGAAGGCGAGATTATCAGGAGGACACTTCCGTATGCTTAATGAAAAGCTCTACACTTGCCCGTACGTCTTCCTTTTTCCTTTTTTCCTGTTTTTAAAAATCTGAATTGAGAAAAATAAGGAAGATTTTTCTTTTGTAGTTGAATATATAAGCAAGATGTATTCACAAACATATGACAAAAAATATAAAGAAATCTAGTGTTTTGTCAGCTAATTCACCTAGGTTACTGCAATTTCTTTTCACAAGATTGAGTCTTTTGTTGAAGATAATTTCTGAATTACGGATTGCTTTGATTTAATTGCTTTGTTTCGTTCTTGTTGTTTTTAAATCCAGTGGAGATGAGGCGCTCAATTATTTCAAAGAAAATCCAGAGCTTTTTAATGTGGTAAGAATCATTTTCATCAGTTATATGTGTCTTCTTTATTTTGCACCTCTACTTATACGTGATAGCTCAAGGTTTTTGGAGTTGGTTTGAATTGAGATCGCTTTGGATTGACCTTGTCTTCAAGAGAGTGTATAAGGTCAACAAAAAGCTGATGGAGTGGTTGAGGGGTTAAGTTTAACATAATTCAAATGCTGTAAGAAAGATGGTAACGAATGCAGCGCATAGAAGTCCTCAATTAAGAACTCAAAACTTAAAAATGCTGACATTCTCATAATCTGTCTCGCTGCATGGAGAAAGTATTACCTTTTTGAATTTTCTTCTAAATGCACCAAGCATCCTTAAGTAAATCATTAATGCTTCACTTGGGGGATAAACTAGTCAGTTCTCCTTCTGCCTCCCAATAAACTTAGTGTTGAAGCGTCTAGAGTTGCCTAGGTGCGGTTACTGATGTCTTCTTTTTCCTTGACCTATTGCTTATATATACACATAAAAATGGAGGAGAAGAAAAGTTTGACCTATTGAACTATTGAGATATTTCACTACTCTTGGTCTTGTATTTGTATAATTCGTTACTTTCTGTGTCCAATATTATTGGTATTTGACTGAACACGAAGTTATTGACTAGTATATTAAATTCATTTACAAAAAAAAAAGGTTATAGTTTAGAGAAGCATCACATCAAAGATTAAAGTTTGGTATTGAATGAAATGGAATTCCTGAAAGTTGTATAGAAGCGAGGAAAGGGAGTATTACTTTTAGTAACTTTGGAGGTCCAAGGACCTAAATGTTAGATTCACAACATGTCTAGAGTCTAGACTATCGATAGGTCGGGTTGGTCCAATCTGCATACAAGTACATAAGCCCATAGGTCGGCTGTTCAGAGGATGAAGTCTGTTATCAAGTTTGACTCGTACTAGCCATAACAGCAATTACTCCCTTTTTCCTCCCGACCACATGTTCGTAACGACAGACCAATCACTCCTAATAAGAATTTTACCGTCTTCACAATTACCCCTGCGAGATGGCTGATTGATATCCCCTTCTAGAATTTTTGGAACTGCAGCTTTTGAATCTGATTCAACTTCAGTTTTCTCTGCATTTATGAAATATCCTGGAGTATATTTGTTAAGTATCCATCACACTGTAATGATTTTCTTGTTCTTAACCAGTGTTTACTTATCTGGCCAGTATCATGCAGGGTATCAAGAGCAAATGTTACATTGGCCAGAACAACCTGTTAATACAATCACAAAATGGCTAAAGGATCATAGCCCTTCTTTAGTTGTTGCTGACTTTGGCTGCGGTATGGGTCTCGAATTATCAGGAAGCAACAAATTTCATGTGATTGTCACTTTTGCAGTTGTGTGACTCATTGATTGTCGAACTTATTTCAGGAGATGGACGGTTGGCAAGAAGTGTGAAGAACAAAGTCTGGTCCTTGGATCTTGTCGCAAATGATCCTTCAGTAATTGCTTGTGATATGTCAAACGTATGGGCCTCGCTTAGTGTCTTGCTAACAGAGACTCTCTCTGTGTGAATTGCCTCTAAAGTTTCAGCCTTTTTTATCACATTAATGTTAGGAGCATGGTCCTAAATTAGTGCTTCTCTTTTGGCAGACCCCTCTACTGTCTTTGTCAGTTGATGTGGCTGTCTTTTGCCTTTCATTGATGGGAACCGACTATCCAAGCTACATTCAGGAAGCTCGCAGAGTTCTCAAACCCAGGTTGGCATGCAGTACTTTCTTAATTTTGTAAGTTACATATCTTCATCTTGTGGTTTAGGTTACGAACTGAGTTGGGTGGTTGTTCCCAGGGGTTGGCTTTTGATAGCAGAAGTTAAAAGCAGGCTTGATCCAAATACTGGAGGAGCAGACCCAAACAAATTTTTGAAAGCTATTTGTGAGCTTGGATTTACCATTGAGTCAAAGGTCTCCATTAATTCTTTTTTGTTATGAGTTGATGAAATCTGAGATCAACTTCTAAAGTTTGTCTATGTTTCTACAGGATTTCTCTAACAAAATGTTTGCGCTGTTCTACCTAAAGAAGAAGGTTAGATTTGATGCATAATTTTGTTATGATTCATCCATGACTCAAAAAGATGTGCTTATTATCTGTTCCTCTCAACAGGAAAAGCAGAATTCAGTAGATAAGGAGATCAATTGGCCTGAGCTCAAGCCTTGTATATACAAACGGCGCTAAGCTTGGCCTTAATATGGATTGTTTAAGATCTTAGTGTAGTCCTTGTTCAAATCTGGAGGTGGGTTTAAAAGCATTGGATGGTTGCATAAAGCAATGAAGTGATAAGAAGAATCCCCTGATGGATGAAGTCGTGTTTCAGAGAAGTGTGCATTTAACAATGACATCCAAAGTGATCTCTACGTGAACTGGTCAATTCTTTGAATCTCGAATGTTGAGGAGTTAGGGTTGCTATTACCGTTGTTGTATTATGGATTTTGAAATTAGTTATATTACTTGGAAAAGATTATAGTACTAAATTAATATATGTTTGATGCTTTTTAATCTTTCGTAAATCGTCTGTTTCACTTCATAAGTGTTTACTTTATTTGTTTTATTTATAGAATTCAATTCATTGTCATCTCAAATGCGTCTCCATGATCAGGCAAGTCTGATATACAACATCAACAAGAAGCACAGTGTAATCTAACAAGTGTGATTTGGGAAGGCGATGTGTATGCAGTCTTACACCTACCTTGTGAAGGCAGAAAGACAGTTTTCGATAGACCCTTGTATTTCTGATAGACCCTCGGCTCAAGCAAAGTACAATAGCAAGCTTGAGATAAATGTACCCAATTATAAAACAACAAAAGTTCCAAGGAATTTAGCGTCTGCACAGATTATGAGTTAGAAGCAAGCAAGAAAGCGTGGCTGATTCATCAACTAATGTGACATGCTCACCGTCTCGCCAGTTTAGTTGCTCATGTACTTTATAAATGTCTCTTGATGTCGATGCAATCTCCAATGTTCGAAATTATTCGTGAAGATTTTATAATATCGGGAGGTTCGTCTCGAGTCCACGTTGGTACTGGCTAAGCCAATCAAACTGTTATGTTACAACGATCATCCTAAGCTTCACTTTGAATTGTTTGAATTCTTCAATCTTTCATTGAGCAGAACATTTGGCGACGGCATGTACAAGGAGTTCCGAACCAAATACCAAGGAACTGAGCGTTAACCTTGTATTTCATCAATATTCAAGTTATTCCGCTCCCATTTATATCTACAAAAATAATATAACAGAAGAGGAGCAAAGAAACCAATAATTCCAAGAGCAGCAGCTGATACTATGCAGTAGAGTTCTTGGATCCTAGGTAACCTGGATTTGAATATGAACAAACAATCAAAATTATGATGATACTAATTGCATATCGTAGGTCCAAGCGAAATGGGCAAACCTTGTGATATACTCGGAAAGCAAAAATTTTGAGATCATTTCATAACTGATGGAAGTTACAGAGCTGGAGATGACACAACAGAAGCATAGTAGCAAACCAGGACCTATTAATTCAGGAAGATGAAAAAGCCCTGCAGTTTTACAACCAAAATTACATAAAACAGAGTTGAGATATGAACTGCTTTTCTGGACTAATATACTTCCACATTTTACCTCCAACCTTCCTTTGAAGGAGATGGAACAGGGTGACGAGAGACAAGGCGGCAGTGAGTGACGTTGCAAGCGCCTTCATTTTCATCAATACAATTAGCAATGAGAATTTGTTAAAGCATGAATATTATCCTACTAGTTATTGCAAGAAAATAGGTAAAATTATACTAACCAATCCTTGCACTCCACTATTTAATCTGTAAACAAAGAACCAATCCAAGAGAGCATTTAGAGCAATAGCTCCAATACTAACCAGGAAAGGTCTCAGTCCATCTCCAAAGGCATAAAACACTGCGACTAGCAACTCTCTGAGGATCAAGAATGGTGAGCCAAGAGAATCTACACAGAGATAATTATGTCAAGAAACTATTCCCAAAAAGGTTCTTTCTTATTCTTTATTAACAAGTAATTTAAACAAAGAAGTTATTGTAGTTTTCCAGCTCCCATCTGATGCCTAGCCATAGATTCAGCCCTCACGAGTACATAGGTGCTCTTATTTTAAATCCCCTCCTCCAACGTAAAATAGTAATTCAGATACCCTAGTATGAGTTGATCCAATACTTACAGAAAAGATAAAGAGAAGAAACTAAAGCACTTGCCGAAGAATCAAATGCATATCGCTCAAACAAGACGCGGATGGTTGGATTGGCCAAGCTACTCATGACTGAAAGGAATGGCAAGAGAATGACCTGTATAAAACAGGAAATTTGTAGCACAATCAGTTATCAATACATTTGATAAACCCACTTGGTGGTGAAAAATCTTATATTTCGTTTGTATCTGCATTACACCATTTTGATATGGGCTCGAATAGAGTGGAGTGCATATAGTGAACTCATTCGGCTGAACCTGAGCCAACCTAGTTCTGTATTAGGGGCTTTTGAAAGAGTCCAATGAAAATCAATTCACAAAAACAGTCCGTATGAAGTGACTCCAAAATCTTATTTGGACTGTAAAGGTCCTAGGCCAACTTTGAAGAATCTGCTAAATCAAAGTAAAGAGGAATAATATCCCAAAGTAACTGCAAAACAATATACAGCTAATCCACTTATTGTAAAAATTCTTCTACTCCAACAGGTTCAGAAATTGAGGAAAAAGACAATGAAATAGTTATTCTATGAGATTAGTTAGAAATACTTTTAAGACAATACAACAAAATTTGGAAGTGTGAAAATATGGGACGGAAAGTGTTCCTTTACAGCTTATTTGCATCGAGGTAGAATAAGTATTATTCACCACATGAAACTGAAAAATTGAAGCACAGAAAGGGGCAACCATTTTGGGGTACTCCAAAAAGAATAAGTTAGTTAAATGAATGGCAGAATACAGCTCAAGATTAAAAAAAAGTCTACGTTTTCCTTCACAGTCCTACCAAAGTTGCAAAAATATTGATCCATCACAAACATTCAAGATAACAATAACCGGCTTCTAAAATAAATGTCCTAACCATGCATAGCAAGACGGCTCTGTTTATCTTCTCTACTAGGGTTGGCCATGACTCAGTCTGCGAAAGACTTTGGAATTAGAGGGCAAATACAACTGAAAGACTAACAAGAAAAGGTTACAAAATGTTCATCACAAATCGAAAGGGATATGAAAAATATGAGGAGCACCTTTATCAGTCTGGATAACATGGGTAAAATAGGGAGTATAACGATGCTTGAAAGCAACCCCAAAGGTGCCATGACCAAAAGAAAAGCATCTGAAATTTTAAACATATCAATGATCAAATGAGAATTTTTTTGATAAGGTAAGGTAATCAATGATGAAAAAGAATTAGGGCATCCAATTTAAAAACACAATGAAGAACCTACAGGAAAATGGGAAAAACAAAAAAGTATAGCAGAGCTCTGACACAGTAAAAAGGATGACAACCCAGTGTCCTGCAGGGAGGCTTTCAGAGAAATTGCCTGAATAACACTTTACATTTTGCATTATGCTACTCAGGCAGTATGTTCCACATTAAAGTTGTTTCCTATAAAACCCTTGTCTGACTGTCGCTCACAATAGAATGGAAGGACTACTTCATGGTCAATAGAAGATTCATGGATCTCACTAAGTCCTGTCACTCTTCCACATAGATTCGCTGTTTCAGAAGTTTTTCGTTCATTGTGGAAGCTGTTCTTTCAGTTAAAAAAGAAGCCAATGATAGCACTTGGTATTTAATTACATAGCACCATCCTTTCTCTGTGTGAAAAGCCATTGACATACAACTTGCATCGATCATCCGTGCTGTCAAATACACCGTTCAAACTATACTTGAAAAACAACTTGTAAATTTTGTCTTACAGTCTTCAAGGGTTCAACTAAAAGATGGTTATTTAACTTCTTTTTTTACTTTTATTTTTATTTGGTATAATGATGACACGAGATTGAGCTTAAATAGAGAAGTGAGGATTCATATAGCCGGCCCAACTTGTGTGTAGTTGTTGTTGATACTGGACCAAAACCCAATGTTTTTAATAAAAAGGTACAAAAGCAAAAAGAATTAAGTTAGAGATACACTTTTGGATGACACATAACTATGACTCTATGAGGGACTGTTAGAGCTTCCACCTAATTTGGATCATAAATTGCATCTATTTACTTTGTTCAAGAGGTGCTTGGGGTATGAAGAATCGAAGCTACATAAGGATTAACAGCTTTTGCCACAGTCAAAGATGTAGAGCTAGACTTCCCAATGATGACATAAACACTTGTAACCGTGCATGCTATCAAGCATAAAGCAACAGACCTTCAATCATTACAACTTTTTGCTTGCATTTTGTATTTTTTGTTTCCTTTCTTTTAACATTGCGGAGGCAATAATCTGACCCGCCATATCAAACCTTTTGATTTAGATTCTGCATTTTATACACTATCTGTCCTCAAAAAAGAGGAATTATACGGCGTTGTTTTCATGACAAAGAATTACAAAGGCCAGAAAGTTGTGCTTGATCAACATGGAAAAGGCCACAGAAAAATTTCACTTTCACTTACATGAAAGGCCTGCGGCAGCACCAGGAAAATGAGATGCAAAACAGATGTCAGTAAATGATGCTATTTGTGCCAAGCCTGAATTGAATATTGCTGGTACTAGTACTGAGAAAAGCTATGAAAAAACACAACGGAAAAGTGATCAAAAGCAATCAATTGAGTGGAAAGGAAATACGTGGAAAGAAGTAGAAGGTCAAAGAGGTCTACTTCACAAAGATCCCTGCTCCTGAATCCGTCAATCCATGAAGCTGAAATAACTTCATGCCATGCTCCCCTTAGCAATGCCACCTGAAATAAAGCATAACGTATAACTCATGTCCAATTTAATTTAAGAAACAAGCACGTGTATAACGTGGAAAACAAAAAAGAAAAACATACACCATATAATATAGGATTGAGTCTTTTAACCTAAAAATATAACTAAAGTATGAAAGAGTCAGAGGTCAGCAACAGAGACCTGGATAATCCATTGAACGACTACACCAAGGGAAGCTCCACAGGACAGAAGAACACCACCTATTTAAAGAATTTTAAACTTCAATATCTTTTCCACGTAATATCACTGAAGTTACTAAGCAGGCTACATTACCAGAAGAAAGGGCATCTGATTTTCTGCTGAACGAGTAAAAGAGGCACTGCAACAAATTACAACCGTATTCATGTCGGAATCTACAAGAATCTACTACAAGATACGGAAGAGTCATTCCTAATGAAATAATACTTGGGCCACGGCAAGTCAGAATTTACACTGGCAATCAAGAGCAAGCTAGAGAAGGCGGGGCTAATCGCAGGAAAGACATTTTCTCCTTTTGCACTAGAGTAAAAAGAAACCATTAGGTGCTCAAAGAACTATTAACAACTGGACAAAAAAAAGACATTCATTAATATGTTACCTCAGATAACCAAATCCAAGACCAACAGGGCCAGCAAAAACAATGCAAGAACTCATTATTTTCAACTGCAAAATATGTGAAATCTAGTTAAATAAGAAAAGGTGTCAAAATCTAAAAGGAGTAAATACCTATTGTGGAAACGGAAACTCAAGGCAAATATGCTCCAATTGGAATGTTGATACAAAGTAAAGGAAAAGACGTACAGAAATGAGTTTATATTTTTTTACATGCACGAAAGGGATATATGTACTTTTAAGTTGGTAAAAGTGACAAGAGTGGGTTGCTCTAGTGGTGAGCACCCTCCACTTCCAACTAAGAGGTTGTGAGTTCGAGTCACCCCAAGAGCAAGGTGGGGAGTTCTTGGAGGGAGCCAGGGAAGGAGCCGAGGGTCTATCGGAAACAGCTTCTCTACCCCAAGGTAGGGGTAAGGTCTGCATACACACTACCATCCCAGACCCCACTAGTGGGATTATACTGGGTTGTTGTTGTAAGTTGGTAAAAGTGAGATAAGGCAAAAATAATTGGCTAAACAAGCTTGGCCAGATACGTAATGGTAGGAAGAAACTCGAGATGAATTTTGCTGAAAAGTAAATTCATTACCTGTTGGATAGCTATTCGGCCTGTTATCTGGCCTTCTGTTGAGGTCCACAGACTGAGAATGGATCAATGAAGTGCAATCAGCAAGAGATACTCACAAGCATATAAATGCCTAACAATGACAGTAAAAGAATTTTCTGGTCTAGGTTAATTTAAGAAATCTGGGCAGAACAACCTTCAGTTTCTAAGCAAAGGCTAAATAAAGATGCTGTGACTTAGCATGAGCAGGGAAACGACAAGTCGAATGTTGGAAAAAGGCACTAAACATTTTCGAGAATAGAAAGCCAACCTAGAGAGTAAAGCCTTAGTAAAAAACAAAAACCTGTGACAGGCAGTTCATCATGAGCTATCTGCCGCACTACTTTGAGATAAAAAATCCATTTAAATAATCTCAAGATAGCGATCAGGACATGAATGCAAAATCAAAGTTTAGAAGACCAGATCGTTTACATCTTATATCTTGCGAGTTAAATAACACAAAAATTCTTTGGATTTAAACCGTCTTACCCTGGTGCATATACATGAATTATAGACTTGGAAAATATGAACACAAGGGCAGCCACCAGACCTCCTACCTGCATGAAATTCATTTTTGTGGCTAAATGCTTATAATTTTTTAGTTGTGATAGATGAGTAAGAAGAAGGATATATTAAAGCAGTGAGAATTTACATACCAGGATCATGACAGTATTTGCATGCTTAAATAGCTTTTCCTGACGATCCTGTGGAAGCTTACTGATGATCATCATCGTGATAGGTCAGAGGTAAGAAATGTATTTTCAAGACTATCAACAAGGTGTAAAGGTGGAAACGGGTAATTATTGGGAAACTAACTCAAAGTCTTTAAACTTGAATCTAAGATTTATGCACCAAGGACAACACAAAAGTCACCATATAGCTGCCCCTTGTCTAGAATGTGCCAATAGTCATACTTAATTCAGGCAGATTTACTTATCAAGAGAGAAGGCAAGATATCACAGTCTACATCTGCATTGATGTCTCAAGATTAAGCATTCACCCACATAATCACTCATTAGCATGTTAGGCCAACATTAAACAGGCCTGTAGATGATGAAGCTAAGTTTTAGGTGTGTGGAGGAGTAGAGCTTGGACGCATAGTTCTTTATCTAACTAAACCCTGTTGGTCTCCAAAGTCTAAACCAGAAGCAGAACTTCAATGTAGACAGAAGGCTAATGACCAGTTAATTTACTCTATCTTTATTAATTTTACATGTAGCTGGTTGCTCCAGGATAAGGAATCAGGGTTTATCACATTGGTTATACATAAAATTTCAAGTATAGCAAGCTTCTTGCTGCTTTAGCTAAATATGGGAATCCAGGGATATGATGCCTTTAGCTCCTAGTAAACATAGAGTCTATAGAAGTGGGGGTGCAGAACAACTTTGAATTCAGCATTAGAAAATCAAGAAAATAGCAGAGAGATATCGACTAGCCTTAACGTAGCTGTCATTGTGATGTGAATAGGACCATTAACACCTGCATGAAATAAGAAGCCAGTGATTAAAAAAAACTTCTCCGTCATCTTCTACACATAATGCATAGTATTAACAGTTAACAAGGCATCAACAGAATGCAATATCATGCACAGGTAACAGTCACGATGGCAAGAAACCTTGTAAAATCTGGCATAAACAAAGAATGGATTTTTCAACCAAAGATGAACAACTACAGCACAAGTTGGATTAAGGCTGTGCTGGATGTGACTAAATGTCAAAACTCCAAGTGAGAGACCTTCTTGGACCAAGAGAAATAATTGTTGCAACAGGAAAATGTAAAGAATTGGAAAGAGAAGGAAATAAAAAGAAGAAATTGTTTTTATTTTAACATAAGAGACTTGGTACATATAGATATCCGATGATAGACAACAGTGCAGATTTAAGAGAGGGAAACTTCATACTTCTACATTTTATTCTATTCTTCTAAACTTTCAAAATTTTGAAAATATTTATTTTAAAAAAACAGTTTTCCCCACGCGTCACCTCTCCAAATTTTCATTTACTTTTCTTTTCGTAATGAGTTTTCCGCTTTCCTTAAAGGTATAGTCAGCAACTGGTAACTACACATTGCAAACAGAAAAAGATGACTGCTACTTGTACCTAAGTTATGACTAAAGAATAAATCAAGAATAATCATGCATACACAAAAAAATAAAAAAAATAAAAGCGAACACAACTCTAAGGACCATGTTAATATGCTTTATATCTTCCTATTATTATGGATGGATAAACCAACTACTTTATTTTATTCTTTACTCACCACCAAGAACCGATGCAGCAAAACCAGGCAGCACCGAAGCATACCTGATATTAAAGCACCATTCAAAGCAGACTAAAATGGTGAGAAGAGTAACAAAACTAAAAATCTTAGAATTGACAAAGTAAAAAGCTTTTCAGGAAACATATTAGCAAAAACTTTTTCATGTATGAGCTTACCTGAAGGCAGTTGCCACCAGACCAATGCCAAAAACTGAAGCTATAACAATCTCCCTCAATAATCCCTACGTGACCAAAAATCGGAAAACCGAAAACAACAAAACTATTGAGGCAAAAAATTAAAGGTTTAAACAGTAAATACACTTGAAAAATACTAATTGCAAAATAATCACCAGAACTTTGCTAGTGATTGTGGCAATACCAATCCATGTCACATTTCTAAACTGCAGCTTACCTACATGAAAAGAAAAAGTAAAGGATTAACACATACACACACACATATATATATAGGTTTGTAAATGACGGACCAGGGGGCAATACAAAGTCATTGTGAGTTGAATCACAATCAAACGCGTAGTTATTGCTGCTTGAAGCTGCCGATGAATGAGAAGATATTTGTCTTCCGGATATAATTCGGATTCGCCGGAATCCATTGGGAGAGCGATGAGTTGTTGCGAATAAGAGAGAAATGGAAACAATTTTGCGCGGGTGAACGAGTTGCAAAGAAGATTTGGAGATCGGCGACGGCGATTGAAGTTGACTACAGTCAACGAGCGTATAGCGGGCGGTTGAATACATTTCCGGCGGCAAAATCGACGGAGGCAATTACGGCCGCTGCGAAGCTGCCTTTTGGCGCCAAAATAGAAGGGCCGAATCTGGGGAACAAATCACAAATAACGGTAAAAATAGCACGACCTAGCCAGTTTTCGAACTGATCATTCGAAAATAGCCATTATTTGTAAAGTCATTGATAAATAGCTATAATTTTGCTGCAACATAGAAAGTTACAACATAATATACTGGAGATCGGCGCACATGTGTATGAACTTCCAACATATTATGCTGGACGGGTATATTATACTAGAATTCCAGTATATTATGCTGGAAATCCAGTATACTTATGTTGAACTCTAGTATAATATGCTGGAGTTACAGTATACTTATGCTGTAACTCCAGCATCCAGTATAATATACTGGATTTTTCGGATTTTGGACAGTTTTTTCGTTCAAATTTATCTTTACATCAAAAGTGGCTAAATTTTGATTACTTTTGAAACTGTGGCTATTTTTGAATGACCACTTATAAATATGGCTATTTTTGAATTTCTCCCTAAATAACCTGATTTGAAAAATAGATACACTTTCAAAACTAATCAAAATTTAGTCACTTTTCGTGTAAAGATAAAATCTGAACAAAAATATCCTTAAAAATTCAAAAAAATTCCAGCATGAAGTTCGAATTTTTTACATATGAGATTCTGGTATAATGTGATAGAATTTCATAATGCGTTGGAATTTCAACATAATATGCTGGAAGTTTATACGCATCAGTTCCATAATCTAGCATATTATGCTGAAACTTTCGGTGTTTCAGCTAAAATAATGGCTATTTTTTAATGAATTTATAAATGCTGGTTAATTTTCGATTGTCAGTTCGAAAACTGGCTAGTTCATGCTATTTTCAACCGAATCTCGCCGGTAAAAGACTTGGGCCAATACACTGGATTTTGGGCCGATTTGAAGCCCAGAATCATGGTGCCCGAACTTCCAGCCTGTAGCCTCAGCACCTATACTTGTTACATTTACAATTACATTTGTATTTTTTTAATGAGATTTCTAAATTAATTTGTTAAATTTTTGTTTTTGACAATCTATTCTAGAAATTCATATTTTCTGGAAACTATTTTTCACTTATAGTATAGTCAAAACCTACCAATATTACCATGAATTCATTCTCTAGCTTACAACTATATTTGGAGGGAGATAATGAGCCATCCACTTAACGGCCAGTGCTTTGTCGAACTTAGCGAATGATGTTATTTAGGTGGGTTAAAAAATTATGTTATTTAGGTAGTTAAATAGTTTTCTAATTTGACTACAATTTTCAAAACATCTTATAATATATATAACAAAAAGCCTGTAACTTATTATATGTACATTTTAAATATATAAATAGCGTTTCAGATTAAAAAGGAATTTTAACATTCAAATTATAATGAAAATTAGATGTCTTCACATCTCAACATTCTTTTGCAGGTGAATAGGTAACTTTTTTGGTCACAAATCACAATGCATACTCATCCACTGCTCGTAAGTGGATGATTGATCAATAAGTATTGTGATGGAACGATGAATACTTATTTATTTTTTATTAGAGATTTCGGATTCGAAAGGAGTATAAATTATTTTTCGTGCGAAGATTTAATTAAACTCTAATACGTATCCGAATATCGAATGAGAAACCAAAAAGATGTTGGAAAATTAGTGATATCTCAAAAGGTAATGTTCATCTTGACTTGAAAAATCTTTTCTCTTTGAAATATTATTTAGTAAGTTATTTTACAATTAATAGAGTCAAACTAGCCGTTGGAGCAACGCCTATATAAATATAGTGTTTGGAGAGCTAAAGAAACGCTTTCTAATACAACTTTCTGAATCTTTTTCTTTCCCCTATATGTTGGATTTCTTTCTTGAATTTTCTTCTAGTTCTGTTCCCAGTTTTATAAATGGAAGAGCTTGTTGAATTATGGGGGATATGCCTGGTTTTATTCTTTATTGTGTAGGCGAAATATCTTTAAGGACAGTGTCCTTGACACGCCTCAAGCTAACTCCTATTCTCCATAACTAATTTTTCCAACAATCTTAAGGATATTTTCACATTTTATTTTTATTATGGAGAATTAAATTTGATGTGGGATCTACACTTCAAGTTTGCACAATGGTCTTATTGGGAATACTACTTATGGAATTCTGATGAACTTTAAAGACATACCGTAACATCTTTCACTTGATATGTTTTTGCATAACATTATATCTAAGTGTTAGGTATGCATAACTGAACTAATATATACCTCTTCAATATTTATTCTTTCATGCTTATTCTCATGAGAATATAATAGGCATATAAACTTTGACCTCAGGATGATACATACAATGTCTTTTCAATTTTAGATGTGTTTATAGTCGTACATTATTTGCTTATGTGAATTTGTATTTGTAATTTTGTATGTGCATTTTGCATAGTGAAAGATATTGTACTGATTTTGTAGTTCTCTTGATCTAGAGTGTTTTAAATATGGCAATATGAGATTAGTTATTTCGGTAGTTGTGGAATTTCCTAGCATGTCAAAAGGACAAATTGTTTATGTTGCTTGAGATAACGAGAATAAATGATATTTACATTTATATACTATTTAAAGGTTGGAGACCTTTTGTCATGAATTTGATATCTCTAGACATACATATTTTCTAATTTGGAGATAAAATATTTTGGGTGAAGCTATATTATTAGCTTGTAATTTATAAAATGAAACTCCTTATGAGTTGTGAAAGATTATCTCCTTAATGGTCTGAAATTTTCGAATGTGTGGGGGTCGAGAATATATTGTCACGGTTATGTAGCTTGATCATAAGGGGAATAATGAGAAAAAATATTTATTAAAATTATTGTAATGAAGCCTTACAAAATTGAGATTGTTGTGGCAAAATTTTGTATTGAAAGATAAAAAATAAGTTGTATTTCTGGTTGTGAAAAATTAGCTTGTTTTGGGTCTCTTAGTAATTTGAGTGAATAAATCATCGAATTATGACCCCTTCTTTACTAATTTGAGATATTTTTGTAGAAGTTAAAGTTGCTTTTATATTTAGAAAATTTTACCTTGGTATTTGAATATGGAAGATACCAAAAGAAATAAATTCTTATATGTGTTGAAAGATGTTTCAAAAGGCACTTGTACAGAAGTCAAGTTTTATTTCATTTGAGATGATTTTATGCCTTACTTGAGAAATACTATGAGTTAGTATTTTGTATGTGATTTTTCTACTGTATTAAAATGATACGTTGATGATATTGAATCTCTAATTTATATGAGAAAAGCTCAATAGTGATTGTGTGACCACCTTTTGGTGGATTTTATGATATTAAAATTGCAGTGAGGCAGATTAAGCAATCTATTGGCGCGTATTCCACTACGAATTAAACCGACAATAATTATGTCGATGAATTGTGATTGCCAAGGCGCAATAACTATTGTAAGAAAATAAATCTTTCAATGGGGAGAGTGGACAGATTTTCTTAAGATATAATGTTATAAAGCAATTGCTTAGAGATGAGAATTTTTTTATACATATTATGTGTAGTCAAAAAAGAATTTGGCCGATCCTTTGATATATAAGTGAAACATCGAGGGGAATAAGACTATTGCCATTTTGAGATATATCAGCAATAATGGTAACCCAACATATGTGATTGGAGATCCCATAAAGAAGGTTCATATGGGTAATAACAAGTCATTAGTTGATCAAATATGCACTATTAAATTATGTCTCTACCTATGGTGTGTGTGTGTATAATGCAAGACTGCAAGAAATGTGAGGTTTAGTTATTATATTCTTAATCCAATAATCCACAGCCTTTTATAGGTGGTGTATTGCGTTGCAGAGTACACTTGATGGATGGACCTATATGAGTGTGGAGTGGAGCCGCTCCTATGAAATTAGTGGTAAAATTTCTAGCCTCGTGAAAATCGAGCGCGCGCATGGCCTATTAGCGCAAAACTGCGATAACAACAGAAATTATGGGGGCGTAATATGATGAATAAGGTCCCTAGCTTACAACAAGATTTTTTTAGTTCATAGAAGTTATCAACTGCACCATTTATTCTGTAAGTTAAATCTTATTTTATCTATATCTGGTTCATAGTCTATAAGACACCGGATGAATTTTATTATACCCGAAACCTAAAAAATTATACTCTCTTTCTTTCTTTATTTACAATTTATTTTTCTATCCCTTTTGAGATATGTGGAGGAATGTTAGAAAATTAGTGATATCTCAAAAGGTAATCACTCCTAGAAAATCGTAAAATTCCGATGGAAAAAAATTATCGAAAATTTCCGACGGAATCCGTCGGAATTTTCAAAAAAAAAAAATCAATTATATTATTTTAAAAATATTTCGACCATATTTCCGACCAAATAGGTCGTAATTTTTGGCGCAAAAGCCAGTTTGATTCGTTTGACTTCAATTCTGACCGATTCGGTCGGTAGTTTTTAAAAATATATATATATATTTAAAATGAAAATTTTGACCGAATCAGTCGGAATTATTTTTTAAAACCCTATCCGACTCCCGTTCCCCAAAAACAGAACATTTCTTTTCTTTTTCCTTATTCTCTCCTCCTCTCTCCCTCTCGTCCTTCTTCGCTATACTCCTCGTTATAGGTAATGTATTCTCTCTCTCTCTCTCTCTCTCTCTCTCCCTCCCTCCCTTCTCCCTCTCCTTCATCCTCCCCTTTCCCCTTAATTTTTTTCTCATTTTCAGCAGTGGTTCCACAATGACACATTTCTTCTCCGATATTTTTTCCATCGAGGTAAGTACTTCGTTGACATATATATATCTTATTTTTATTGTTAAATTTGTAGTAGTTTTAGTTGTTGTATGCTTATTAGATTTTCTATATGTGAACATCCTAATTAGTTGAATTTGGTATGGTTGAAATTTTAGGGATTTTAGTTTTTGAATGATACTTAATATAAAACAAAAAGAGAGAAGAATATATGATGCTCCTATAAGGATTTTATTTTGCGAAATTCTTTTGTCACCATTATTATGTAAATTAGATTGTCCAATTTTTCCAAAA